AGTCATTCATATTGGAAAGTATTGCGTTTTCATACTTGATAGGTTTCGCGATTGTCATATTCAGATCATTTATTCTTGGCACTCAAGGTCAGGCACGTTTAATTGACAATTATGCAGCCCAGAAACTACGTACATCGAAGTAGGCAAGATATAAATTGTCCATGCCTAGAGCGTTTATATGGGTGATAAACATAATGAAAGTCTTTTTGATCACAAAGAAAATATTTTAGTGCATCGTAATCGGCCAGTACTCTGTCTGATCAAGTTGCCCTGTTAAGGAATTATCTTAAATTTATTGATCTAACCCAGTACAGTGAACCCAAGCTCTCAGGTCTTCAATTATCAACATATTTTGATGAACAACATGAGTCTGCTAAATTCATTAGCTTTTTAACAAGCATTAGAGGTCTGAATATTCGATAAACGGCAACATTTGTAATCGAATAGATATTCAGGTTCGTTTGACACAACGATAAAGTGGATTATAACCATTATCAAGCCATAAACAAACAGACGAATTTATTTAAAACAATCAGCTTTGGCAAACAACTGAAATCGGAAAATATGTTGTAGTCGATTGAAACCACAAACGCTACCTGTTGTTGATGTAAAATACATTGTGATTTACAACAACTGTTTAAGCAGTGAGAAAATGCAACTGATGCAAAAAGCAGATTTCGTGAGCGGTATTCGCAGCTAAACGTCAATTATAAATCCCATTAGTAAATGGACAAATGTAGTGTAGGATGAATGTGCAGTAGTTGTGTAACAGGCGGCGTATTGATGACACGTATTCACCGTAGATTAGCTTTTGCAAATTCCGGTTCACCATCAGTCCGATGGGCTTGTTGAATAAACCGATATTTTGGCCAGAGCTTTTCTACGGTTTTTATTTTATAATGTTGTAGCATCGCTTACAATATAAAATTATCCAACCTAGGGATGCTGAGTTCAGCTCCATTGCGGTAAATTACTATCATTCTGCAGCCCAGCATCATGTTGTGACGTATGTTTACGTATACCAATGGTTTGTGTTTATGCATTTAGTCATTAGTAGTAATAACTTATTTTATTATGCAATTCTTACCTTGATTTGCTTCCTACAACTTGGCTAGAATACTTCATCACCTATGCATGCATCCACGCAATTTATCTATAACGTCAAGGTAACCACTGACATCTCTTTTGTTCATTGTTGTAAGCTCTGGATGAAACAATTGGGGAAAAGTTGAACCAACAGCCATTCGAAATGCTTCGTCGAACACCAGATCACAGACAACCGCCTGTGGAGACTGAACAGCGTAGCACGTGGTTTGCTGACGTGATATGACTAGCGTCAGACTGTGATTGATGAACATTCATATACATTTCGGTCGCTATCCGAGCAGTTGTCGCCAGGCATTTGGCACTTTTTCATCAGCTGAGGTCCTTAAACACCACTGTTTGTGGTTAACTAAGCTACCACTGAACCAGTCATCCAGTCATTTTGACACCACGGTTATTGAAACTGAAAGACCTAGGCATTTTCCTCTGCTTTCCTCTGCTCGCCCGGGGCATTCGCAAGCCAAGGTGCGTGTGAATTACTCATTTGTCTCGCTTTTCGTACGCACATACATTATGAGTGATGGATGAATATCCAAAATGTAATCACACCCGGACGCGTGAGGAAAAAGCGGTTTATAACATTTCTGGTAATACCACAGCTTCCACCGCAGATTATGAAAAGAGCAGTCTTGTTTGCCTAAAGAATTGAAGATATCTGCAATTGATTTCCGGATGCTGATACATTTACTAGTGTTACATTTACCAATAACAACAAGTCACTTTTATCCCGGCAGAGATACCGTTAAATTGCACAAACGTCGTGTGCTTTTGTGTAATAGAAAGTGATTTAGGCAAATTCGGGTATAACTCAGCCGGATAAATGAAGTTTCCTGGTGCTAAATAAAATAATAAGAGTTTTACAGAATTATTGGAAAATATGGGTTTTCCATTGAGTCATTGCAAATCATTAGGCACCAAAACGTATTGCGCACAATACAGTTGTACTCAGATAGTTATATTTTCTATGGGACCGGAAAGCTGTCGTGTGAACTTATATTTGCTGCATTTTGGAAATAAAATCTTTTTTAGACGATCGCTTAATATGCAACAACAAATGATAAGCAATCGGACATGATTTTGCTCGTACATTTTCTATGTGACCAATATTGACGGTATTTGCGCATTTTTCAAAAAGTGCAATCCTCTCTAGGCTCAACTCTCATTAGTTTACAGGCTCTTTATGAAAAATTGACACCTTTTACAAGTACCATGACAGAATCCACGGTACCGTTAATTTTTAATATTATTTTTGTGAAAAATTGAGTGGATCTACATCTAATACTGGCAACGTTTTTGCTTTTTGCACTTGGTTGACTCCGAACACGGAAAATTTTAAATAATAACATTAGGTTTGCCAATTTTTCTGACGGTCAACTTCATTTTGCACATTTTTGTTCTGTTGGATCAAGTGAAGTAATGTATAATTGGAATAATATTTGGGTAAAATTCAGCAATAATTCGCTTATCTGAACAAACGGAAAGCTTTATTTTATTTTTGGAATGTTTTGTGGTCATATAAGACAATTCGCCCTACATATCACTCAAAGTCCGATCGTATAATCAGTCGTAAATAGCGTGAACAAGGGGGGGGGGATGCAGTAATGCATATTTATAGTACGTCTTCAGCATAAAGCCATAGGTAATCAACTGCTATATATATATATATTATTATTAAGGACCATGCATAAAGCCCGAATTTCATAGTAAGATACAATCAGAGATGAGAGCATTCACGTGAGTATCATTTCAAAAAGTAAACATCTGCGTTTTGGACCAGGTTTGGTGTCCGCATAAAGTCATAAAAACGAATGAACAATGACTTGTTTGCTGCACTCTCCAAATCGTATTTGTTTTTCAAAGAAGAAACGAACCGGAAGGGTTTTGAAACCGAACGTTTGACAAGCCATTAATTTCAACTCAGTTGCACACACCAATCAAATTGGCTGTGATTCCTGGTTTGTCACGTGGGGAAACGTAGAAACCTATGGGCTAAACGATCGCCACTATTTTGTCAAACGCATACACGGACACACGCACATTAAAAGATGCATGAGTGGATACCGGGGAAAAGCGGTACACTTTGCTCGGTAGAAAGATCTCAAGAGACAAAGGTAGCTAAAAATAGGTCCGAAAAATTGGGCGGTTAGAGATGAGCAGATTTTCTCAAATCTAGTTTTGCAATCAGTTGTGATTTCAGTTGATCAAGAACGCACAAATTATACACTAGTTACAATTTGTTGTCCTCCAGGACGGATGCCATTCAGGGGGCGTAGTAACAATACATAATGTATTCAATGGTTATGACGAAGTAGCCCTTAGTTTACACAATAAACACGTCTTATCAAAACCAAGCTTTATTCAAGAGTTCATTTTACTGATTTGGTCGAAGACTTCATTATGGTAAATGTTGAAGTACAGAACTACTTGATTTAAATTCGCAAATCTGTGGCAATTATGTCTTTGATTTTGGGGTTTTTATGATAAATATAAGTTGATTTACTCCATTTTCTAATCCCATTGAATTAGAAACTCTGTGAAAACGCGAAACACTGTACATTTTACGGCAACCGAATTGTTACGCAATAAAAGTTCTGCTCGTGAAAAGTGAACGGTGTTACCCATAAGATGAAATATATGTGAAATCTGTGGGTCCTGACTGCAATTGTGCCCCGCAATTTGTAATTCATAGATACAGCAAGATGTGATTCAACATTTACCTACCTCGGCAAAATTAACCTCATGAACAATATTTAATTGCTTCTTTTTGCATGGTCTTCAACTTTTTTGTAAACCATGGCCAAAAAGCTTAACCTTTCATTGGAAAACTATCTCTCGTCAAACTCACAGGCTTTTATCACAATATGAACGGTCCATTATTACAGCACAGAACAAATTACAACTGGCTGGGCTTAATACTGAAAATAGCGTTCAAAAACGTCTAATTCATCAAATGTCTTGTATTTCTTTCAATCACAGCGTTGCGCCACGGAAGAAGCAGAACTACTTAAGTTTGAAACATCGCTGGCCATCTGCCCGATGAAATGGCCGGAACAATCATATATTGCTAGGAGAGAGGGCCGTGAAATAATGAGTTTTACATTGCCGTTTGATTTATTCCAAATCGTTCTGGTTTATTGGCAGATGAACGTTGCGTCGTATAACGTTGATGTGCAGAAAGTTATACAAAGTGAGCCTAGAGAACCAAGAGTACAGTGTATCGTACTTTCAACATAATTTGTCCAGGTTACAAATCATCTAGCTTTGTTGGACAAACGTTGTTTATGCTTGTGAACAGGGACATATTATCTGAATACTGAACAGTAATCTTCAACATCACAGGAACTATGAACACAAAATTGTCGCAGATATCCCGGAAAAGTGGTTTTCTCTATTTAAAGGATCAATAACATGTATTCTGAATTCACTGAACACAAAAGTCATGTATTCATAGTGATTACACGCATTGCAAATAAAGTCAATATAACCTTTACACATTCATAATTAATGCTTTGTTATCAGATTTCTACATCTCTATTACTGCCAAGTAGAGTAATACAAGTCTTCGAATAAACGTTGTTCAGGTAGGGAAACCAGCTAGAATTTCATGTACTACCTTTTACGGGTCGTCAATGAGACGCAAAAGATATGAAAGAACGAAATTTTGGTATGATAATATATAACTTTAAAACTAGTTCTTGTGGTCAACATTGATATGGATCTACACGGTTCACTGTATAAGGATATAAAAGGAGACAAATTCGGTAGCCGCGTCAATGTGTCAAGTAAACATGCGATTTACAAGGACTACTCTGAGAAGTTCATTGCGTCATTGTATGTGCTTCGGAACATAAAGTTTTGCTCAAGGATACCAGGAAATACCTAGTGAATAGTGGGGAATGACACTAGTGTTTACAAATTTCGGGGTCAAATTATGTGATGGAGAAAGTGTGCTTAGTCTCGAAGTGAAAAGAGGTAAACTTCTAACTTGCATATTGTACCTTCTCAAAGCTTACAATGAACCAGATTATTTCTTTGAATAGGATTTGAATCATTGTGTAAAACGTCCAAGACTCCCATCGAAAATGCTAGCTAATTTAATTTGGTTATCAAAAAATCTCAGTGCTATTACTTCTAAGTAACATGTTTTTTCGTTTACCCAAGTAAAGGTGATTATATTCGATTATTTCACTGAATGTAGGTTCATAAGTGTATAAACAACAACAACAACAACAACAACATTCTTCAACAGCGGTACTTGCATTGACTCTCTTGATTAGCTGATGTCAAATTATAATAAGGCAAACAGATAAAACAGAGCTATTTTAAGATAGCAAATGGTTGCTTATTTATCATCCATGGGTGATTTGCATAAAACCTATTTGTTTCCAGGTTATGAATCGATTCTGAGACAAAGCCATTGTTCGTAGGCTTCAGCGTTCCATTTCACATACTGATTTCACATACAGATATTAGCAAATACACGAGAAACCAATCGATCAATTATTTTGCATCCATTGTCAAAATTGAGCATAGGGGTAGCCCAGAATCAAGCACGATGTTGTCCTCAGCGTGTTGCAACTTCCGGTTCCTTTCACACACGGGCACATCCAGTCGTTGTTGTGCTTTTCCCCCGGTATTCGTGCTGTTTCCTCCCCAAATGACTGATTTCATTCTTTGAGGTCTTTCAAGTAAACATGAATAAAACTGACCCCGGAACTGTTGACATTGTATTTGCTCACGAAAACTGATAAACTTGTCAACATTTGATAGTTTTTTTGGTTGAGCGAAATCATGTAATAAAACCACAATTTTTCACTCAAAGAATGGTTTTGATATTATTTCAATTTAACCTACCTCTATGCAGGAATTAATAAATTCAATCTGCAGTGATAAAAATACAATTATTTCTTTCAAGATGAATTAGTCACATGCATTATTTTTAAAAAATCACAATTAAACAAAAAAGTCGAAATATTTTCGATTACCACAAAACCGTTTTATTTGATTTTCTTGTTACAGTGAAGGTCTCCGTAACGTATTGCACAGTTTCATGACTCGGTGCCTCATAGTTATCGTGCAGTAGGATACCGAATTCCGTTTCGGACCATTTTGAAGTGTTCCATAAGGCTTTTCTTTATTTTCATATCTAACGACCAAAGGGAGGCAGGTGATTAGTGTTCACAATATTATCGATTTGATAGTCCGAGCGAATGCGTGACACAATAACAAAATCAACACAATCACACAGATATTCGAATAAATTTTGTTTGATTTGGACTCTGACTTTCTGAAAAAGCCGTCACCATTGAGTACTGGCCGAAATTTAACTGATCGATAGAAATCAATGAGCCAAACATAACGGGAATACTCCTATTCATCATCTGGAATCTCATATTTATCCTTCTGAAAAGTTATGGGTATTAGTCACGAAATGTATAAGGATAATCTGGCTCCAGAATTCCATGAAGTTCAATGCGGGATATCAACGCCCTCATTTATTTTTTTAGCAACAACAAGGTTCCTTCAGCTTCTTGCTTGCCTTTATCTCTCTCAGTGTGATTGTTTGTCGTAATGAGCGTATTCATTGAGTTGTGTCTTGCGCAGGACAGAGGAAATTCCTGATTATCTAAATGGCGTGCACCAAAATACTCGGATTAATGAGGAGTGTGCACTGCGCTTCACCAAGATTGACGGAAGCCATTATAACCAAATTGATTAAAGAGAGCTTAACCTAAAACAGTTGTCCATCCCAAATGCTTGATCCAGAAATTTACGCATATTGCGAAGTATAAATGAGGAACAATCATTTCCCGCAAATCTACGATAGTAAATATTATCAAACTTCATTTTATAAGAGCACACCTCACATCTATTACATAACGCGAATTACCACAACTGTTCCCAATATATTGATTCAGTAGAGTTTTTAAACATTTCTCTGCTCGTATCTGACGTGGTCTTTATCGCAACGGCATTTATAAATTCGTGATTTTGTGTCCAAACCCTCCAGACTAGCCTCGATGATTATGGCGATTTATGTATTGAGTTAGAATTTTATTCATCCAGGTTGACTGTTTAGCTCAAAATATCATGGACAGTGGTGGCCAAGTGGTTAGATCACCAACTTGTGACCTAGGAGTCTCGGGTTCGAACCAACCCACCGCCTCCCTACTTCCCAGGCAGCCTTTAGTTTGACCGCGGCCCGCCTTCCTGAGTGTTGACGGTACATTTGCATATTCAATAAATACAAAAGGATGTAAAAATACATTATTAAGGAAATGTCAACCTAGGTTTTCATTTCAGTTTTCGCATAATTCTCTGAGACCGGTAGTGAGACTCAGGCTGCATGCGGCGTTTACATGGGTTTTAAAGTATGTATTTCATTACCGATTTTGAGTCATTTATTTATAATGGTGTCCACCGATGGTTTCAGAAATAAAGTGGACATCGCTATCAATTAAATTTAAAATCATGTTACTAAATGAAACAGTGGCAATCAAGTGGCTGCCTTTAGCGTTATTCAATGGTAATGAGCGTAGACTGCACCAACACTGCCCACATTCCCAATTTGGGCTTACTCTACTTGAAAATTGAATACTCAATTAAGGAAGGGGGGAAAATCGGTATAATTATCATTATTAATAACATGCATATTATGTCAAACAGATGCAATAATTTGATGGGCGCATGATCATCTAATAGACTATTGTCAATTTCCTTCAAAGTTTGTTTAATTCGTGATATTTCATCCCAGTAAAAACCTATTTTATTTCTTTCATTTGGCATCAGATCGTCTGTTCATTTAGCATGATAATAAGCTTTTTGTACAACTTTGTAGACCAACAGTTTTCATTACTTGAGGTTGCACCTATTGTGGCCCTGCATCAAAAGAACTCACTTCTCAACATCATGCTAATTGCTTCGGTCAGGGAGTTTTTGCTCGAGTCATTTTCCTCTCGAATTCGTGATCTTCAGATCACAGGCCTACTCGGGGGAAGCGTTTTCCAAGAATCAAATATTTTGTAATCATAGAGAATGGAAATGCTGAAGTACCTCATGATTCATGCATCCTGCACAGCGCTCACCTAAACCAATCCATTTTATTCTGACGCGTTGCGTTTTTATGCTCCGTTCCAACTCGCACTATGCAAATGTGCGTCATCGTCCTTCTTATTATAACTGTCCCTCGATTTGGATTATGAACAACGTCATCCAGATACTGCGCGAATATCCAAAGTTAAAATCCCGCCAGTTTTAAAACTTCAGTCACACACGCAAAATCCACGTAACCCAGTGATCACTGTGAGTATTTGAATCATAAACATGATTGTGCGGCTTGGTATTTCCCCAAAAAGATTGGTTTTGACCGCATTCTTTGTTCATTAATTTTTGCGTCTCTATGCTTACAGTGAATCTTGATTCAAATAAATGGTCATCGTGGAAGATGACTAGTGACCAGGAATTGTGTAATCTTCCTTTGTATTGAGGCTGTGAATGCTGCAAATAGCGAACAAGGAACCAGGTCGTGCACAACATTTATTTTACGTACAATAAACAAATGAGGAATACAGGCGAGAGTGATAGGGTTTGTATAAATGATAAGCACTAGGAATGGGAACGCGTAGATTCAGAGTTCGTGGTATGTTTGGCTAAATCGTAGTTGGCGTGTGTATCTCACGGTAATTGGTCATTTGAGACCAGTGTCTTTTTGATTCCTCAAAAGTCCGTCAACGGACAACTACCGCCACATCATGTTACCTTCCACCCGACGTGTAACTTGAATGAAGATGTTTTACACCGCTACATTTTGATTGCTATCGCTATAGGAAACGGATTCGACACTAACGGATTTTTAATAGTTTCAGTTCCGTTGTACAATTTCTTTTAAAGTGGTTTATGTTTCTGTCTCCTTTGATAGAATAATGGTCAGAAACAGATTGGTGTAATCTACCAAATCAATGAATTCTAAACCTGTGGAGCTGGTCACTGATGTTTGGTTAACCGAATAACAGTGAGTGGTTCTGAGATGCTCGAAGCATTCATCAGGGGACAAATGTTTTCTAACCATGATTTGAACGATTATGATAACACTGATGAGTGCCATCTGACAATAACCCATTGGAACCACGTTGGAGATCTGTACAGAGAATGTATAATATCCTGGGTCACTTGCATCGCATTTTACAACTGTTCAGTGGAACGAAAATGAAATCGGTAATTTTGACGGTATTTATACTTCGACAAAAAACTAGTAATGACATTGGTTTAACCACAGCCACAGCAGCATGCACTGATAGATGTTAAAATCGAGCAGAGTTTATGCGCAGTATCCACAAACATGTAATAAATCTATCAGCCTATCAAGCTTTTCAAAATTTTCATATGGACAGATTTGGGGATGAGGAGTTAAATATATGACCTATTATCGTATTTCTACAAACAATTTGATGGAAAAATGAATAACTCAATGATTAGTTTGCCAATCTACATCAGTCAGTCAGTCACGGGTAAACGGATTTTGAAGAACAACCCATGTAGAGTATCAAAGGAGATGACCGCCTTTGATTTCGGGGGCTGTCATGGATTGGGCTCAGAGATCGCTTATATGGGGGAACAGGAACGCATAAACGATCAAGATTAAAAAGGACAGGTGAATTCTTGTAGGTTTTATAAGTTACATTGTCTGTGACCCACTAGCCAAAGAAGCCCTCTACTGACAGGGAATATTTAGCGGTGATAGCAACAATAATGATGGTGAAAATGATCATTTGTGAGCGAATGCCGATGGCAAAGATGACGGAGATTCTGATGAGAATGATGATGCTGATGATAAGTGATATAGCCCTCGTATTGTAGTCGTTTCAACACTCATATGCACGGATTGACTTCCTAGAGCAACTTGACAAACAATACATATGCTGCTCCTAATTTTACTCACGTTAGAAGAAGAACGAATAAATAAGTTACTGCAGATGTGAAAATGTTCTTCAGGAGCTTTTGCCGTTATCCGCAGTTTGAGAAACTTAATTTCACACCAAGAATCAACAAAGAATGCTTTGAAGTATCATCAACCTATTAACCTATGAACACGTTGGACACCACTGAACGCCCATTTATGTTTAACTATTCGGTCAGGTTAGAAAAACCGAAAGGGGAGGGTCTCCGTTGATAATGTTTCCACACATTGTGTTCAATTATATGTAGACAGTGGCAAATGAGTGAAACGGATGATTTCACGCAGATAAACCATGATAGATATTGTATTATTTTGTCAGCTTTAGGCCCCAGGGGTTTAACGGTTTCCTTAGTTGGGATTATGTAACAGTTAGCAGAGAATAAACTGTTACAATTATTTTTCACATTATAATTTCAAGTGCAGAATATTCTCGGGGGAATTTGAAAAATGAGGTATTGCACCAAAATCTCTCCTATAAAATGAGAGCTGGTTTATTTTTTGAAAATAGTTTTCAGTTGGCCACTGTTCATTATGAATATTATCTAGAAGTTGGTCCATTTTCCCATGGAGTCGAGCACTGTTTGCGGTTATCTACGTCCTTCTGTGTGAATTGAAAGATCACATATTATCTGGTCTTTAATCTCACAATTCTGTATCCAGGAGCCAGTATTATAAATATGTCCTTGAAAAAGTTCATGAAAATTTCTGCCTCGTAATTTGCCATCCTGGTAAATATGTATTTTTACATATATACATATACATATACATACATATACGTAATATGAATGTGTATGTATATGATTCCCTGGAGTATGACGGTCAAGTTAGCTCGTGAGAAGTTGGCTAAATAAGGAAAGTTAATCAGACTATTGCAGCATTCCCGAAAAGCTCACTCTTGCACATTTTCTGAGAGTTGTACGATGTGGACGTGTTCTGACATAACTGAACATGTAGTGGATTTGGTTGGAGGCTTCGGTGTTGCAGATACTATTGAACCAATTTTTTCAGGGAAAGCGGTTCTACTTCACCTTTCCGTAGTGTCTCAGTCAGATAGGTGCGATCTCTCGCTTGCATAGAAAAAAGTGAATAAAAATTCGGCGCTTTTGGAAGACGGTACCAGGTACTCGGTTTTATCCGCGCTCGTATGGAAAGACAGACTCCACGCTCCCAATTTCGATTAACTTAAATGTAGTTTTAGGACAGTTCACAATGTCTGTTTAGGTGATGACTCAGATTATTTGATTTGGCCAGCAATGGTTGTTACTATTACATATAAAAAGAATCCAATGTGCCTAACTATTTGAAATGTGTTTTCCGAAACTGGCCTTTTCACAGCCATAATGCTCAAATCAAACGGGAGGTTGGAGGCGCTTCCGATTTTTGGGTTCAGCCAAAACATGCGTTAATTGACAATTCCACTGGAGTGAGACGAGATAAAGGCAAAATAATGTAGAAGCATTAGTTTTATGTTGTCTTTTGACTCATATGTGAAGAAGAAAAAATGTAGCTTGAAAACACTCAACACTCATTTGAGGACAGAAGTCAAGCGCTATAATATACGTTCAATGAAACAGTTGTGTAACAACAGTTGTATCAATTAATTTCATATAAATGTTCTTTACTGCGAAAATCCAGTGTGTTCAATGAAGAATGAGTACTGATCATTCTGTGCGTAACTTTCTCCTGAATCCCACGAATCAACGCACATCAATGGGACATGCGCCCCGTCAAATGTTTCTTAGCATAGTAGAAAGGGATCAGTGTAAGGGGAAACTCATATAACTTCAAATACCGATACACCTGTTTTCTATAAACATGGTAGACCACCCTTCTTATCTGTGTTGGTTAACTTTCTGATTAGTTTTGACAGAGCACAATCACTTATGAAAAAAACGTAAACCCCTCTTTATGATTCTGGAATGCAAAGTATTGTATGGACGTTCTTAGCTGAGTGTGAATGACAGCAGCAATGTAAGTACTAGTTTGTGAGCCACCCCATTTATCACGAATTATCCTTTACGGAATCTGTTTTTCAACGATTGGAAGAACAGTATTCTAGATCTTTATTCCGTAGCAGTGATAGAGAAAATTCAACAGAAAAGATTGTATAGAAACAGCTAAGAGAATTGGTAAAAAATTATTATGTTTTCAATGATTACATTTTTGAACCATATATTTTTTTAAAAGAAATCATGACACCACGTCCAGTGTAACAGTATAATTGCTAAATAACTAAAAAACGTTTTACAGTCCTCATCTATGAAGCACAGATTCTGATGCACACTTCATTCAATATATTTATGTTCTAATCCTGCCTCAGGTTTGCTGCAACTTCGACATGTGAAGGAATTCAAGGCCGCTAAAGAGTTAGAACATCGAAGACAAGTTCAAAAGCAACAGAGTCAAGATGCTATGCATAAACTTCGAGCAAAACAAACATCACTCGGCAAAGGCTCCGGTGCATTGGGGCTACTGGTACACGGACAACAAACAAATCAACAAAATCCCTTTCATCAGCTGATCAGTGGAGGTGTTTTAGGTGCAACGGTTCTTGCTATGGCCGGTAAAGAACGAAATACAGCTGTGCGAGAAACAGAAAAAGCCAGCACATCGGTTGTCACTGGCGTGAAATCAGATGAGCCGCACACGCCTTGCACTGAATCAGACATGGTCACAAGTGATGGAGAAATTCGTGTGGGAATCAAGCCCGCGTCTACTGGGACCAGTATGGCCCGTCTGTGTGATCAAACCACAATAGGTAACAATGTGAATTTTAAACAGGATCGCACAGCGGATGGATCCAAATTGTCTGTAAAAGGGATAGGGTCTACAAGCAGAAAAAGCGATCAATATTTGAACCGAGATTTCGCTGGTCCACGTTCAGGTCCGGTTGGAACAAGTGCAATGTCTTCGAGGTTATTGAAGTTACGTAACAAACTAACGAGATCAATAACTGTGGCTCATTCTTCAGAGGCAAACAAAAGCCGATTGTCTCCTCTGAGTAAAGTATCTGTTGTTAGCTTACAAGGCACCCTCAGTGCGCCAGGTTTATCACGGTGTATGACTCAAGAACGCGACGAAGATCGAATAGCGGATGACACCGCGACAGAAGAAGAGGAGGTCAGATTGGTTCTAAAACCAACATCCAGTTCTCCAAGTGAAACGAAATCTTCAGTCGGTTTTCATGATAACCAAAATAGAGTGCGTATCATTGATGCTCAGCTAGTGCACAATGGATCATTTGGTGAAAGATATTCTTCCGAAACCGGTGGCCTAGAAATGACCGTGCATCATCCCCTGACCAGTAGTTATGACTCAGTTGGTGTAGTAGAAAGTGGTTCAGCAAAGTCGAGGAGATACTTCACCTCACAACATGTTCCGAACGAGCCCGGCCCTACTGCATCCTCCACTCCAACTAGGCATGTTTCGGGAATCAGCTCCAGTGCCAGCTCTCTATCTCGTGCAAAAAGGAGACGGGATAATTTTCAAAAAGGCAGAAGCTCTGCATTCACGTGGATACCAAGTAACACTATTGGTGAAAGGTCTGAAGGTCCTACCGAGCAAGAAGCACCAGTACATCCAAGTGAACCTGTTGTTTGCATGGAGAAAAAGCTCAGTGTTATTTCGAATGTGATTCCCAAACTGCCCGATGTGCTCATCCTGAGTAATCAGGATGCAAAGCCAGACGGGTCGGTAAAAGAATCACCATTCAGTACATGCAAAATCCTTGAGTCACCACAGACGTATCCAATTCAAACCTGTGTAAATTCAACAGAACCGTTAGTGAAAGAACCCAGTAATCGCAAAAGATCAAGTGATGTTCCACTCTTACAAGTTGAAGATTTCAATCAGGCGGAGGATTCCACAACAGAAATTTCTCAACTACAACGCAGGTTAGTCTAGTGGTTTTGTTGTTGTACTTTGTTTTCCTCAGTTCTTTTTCCTCATTAGTTGATGCATAATAATAGTTCAACAATTTGAGAAGAGTGCTTCAGCCAGTGTAAAGATTCAACTATTTAGGGCAGTTTTGTGTTGTGCTTGACTGATTGAACAACATGACACCAAGTGGCTTTCCCCAATATCAATGAAGCTACATAACACGTCCAAAGGTGCTGACAGTTCTACGCGGTTTCATTCGCACATGAAGATTTCTCAGTTTAGAACTGCATTGGTGATTCCAATTTGTGATTGTTAAACAATTTTTATCTTCCGAATGTGAGCTGTCCTCTAGCAGATTCCTTTTAGAATTTGAGAACTCTATAAATTATGTTTTGTAGAACATCAACGTGCAATGAGAAGCTATAATATTCTTATTGAGGTACGCTACCGTGTAAACATGGCCTTTCTACAGTGATTCGTGCAGCATTGATCACACCGATTACCGTAAGTGCCTGTTCATGAAATATTCACCCGGTGAATATTCAATGTAGCATAGTTTGAAAATCACACATGAATCTGAAGTACAGATTCTCTGTTCCTTTTCTTCTGGCCTTGATCTTTTTAACTGTTTAACCTTTTTATTGGAGTGATTTGGTGAAGAATGGTCGGCTGTATTATGTCTAGCTCATGAACAGAAAGAACCTTGCCACCAACAAGTTGATATCGCAAAAAATGTCACCAATCCATCCTTGAGATAAAGCGAAAGGCGATGAGGGTTATTTCGAGCTACTACTAATTCAAGTCAATATTGATTTGAGGAAACATTTGTAGGAGGTAAAATGGAATGATTCCTTATACAAAAATAATGAGGTTCAGAGTGACAGTTCTACACTGGTTTTCATCATGCTGTTCAGAAACGCTTAATCAAAGGTTTTCTTTTACGTAAACAAGGTGATTCTCCAAAGCACTGCAAGTTTTCGGGTATCGTGTTATCTGTTTGTGCCACAGATACTGAAAAAATGGTCAGGCGAAACCCATTTCAATTTATTATCAAATAACTCTAAGTTTTTTATAGTTTCAATCATAAAAGGTGATTATTATGGTGAAATGAAAATAGATTGATGGGCACTTGTTGCTAGGATTTTCTGAAATCGCTTCTTAGTTGGTTAGAAAGATCTTTAACAGTTTGTCAAAACCCCAAAGCAAGTAATTCATATTTATCAGTCTAGAGTCTTCAGGGTGTTCAATAAATAGACAGTGTTGTACCCTCCATTCCTCTCCCTCGCCTTGCTTTATTACATGCTGCTTCTAAGTGGGCCCTGTTTGCAGTGACCGTTCGAAAGTTTCTGAATGGACAGTAAAATAAAGTATCCTCTTGTTTTTTGTGTGTTCAGTCGTTCTGCATGTTCCTTGTGGATGACACGGAAATAATGAATGTGAATGCCTCACATTCAATCAGTACTAATGTTTTCCTCAAACATGTCTGGCTGGTTTTAGTAGTCTGCAAAAATGGTGGCTACGGTTGCCAGACATGATCTATCATACACTAAATTAATTTGTTGGCTACCAAACAAGGATTGCAACAGTTACACACATTAGACAACACTTGTGCGTATCCATAGAAGTGGATAACAAAAACAAAGTGTATTATCTCATCTTCGCGCTTCTCGTATGACTGATCCTATCTAGTAGCTAGGGTTATTGTTTTATGTGGCAAACCAGTTGCCCTGAGGAACAGCAGAAAAAAGAGATCCATATCGGTCATGTCCGGATTGAAATGAACACACGGATGGAGGAGTGGTTGGATGATGAGAAACAGTGTGAGGCTGGGGCAAATATGAGAACATACGTTATTTTCTGTGTTTTGTGCTGGCGAACAAATCTATTTATGTCAAATAATCGCAGGAAAACAAAACGACATTTTGATTCTGTTAAATATTTCACTGCATAATCTGCTATGGCCATACCTGAGGACGTTTCGCCGGAGATATAGTTAAACCAAATTCATTAAGGAATTAAATGCGATTTGGATAATACACCAAATAGGCAAAAGCGAATGTTAATTAGATAATGGTTTGCTTCCCTGTTCGCGTCAACTCAACCAATGCAATCATCGCCATATGCTACTGGAACTAACAAGTAAGCAAAATTCTGATCCGTCTGAATCCATTTGAACACCACCTATAGGTTTTGTAAAATTATACTGACCAGTGGATTAGTTTTCAGAAACGCTTTCCATCCTTTGGATGTTTATCTCAAACTCTGTTGAGTACTTACTCCTGACCCAAATATATCACGACATTTGATAAATTATATTAGATTCACTAAAAACGTTCAAGCGTCAAAGTGAATCAAAAATACATTCTCACCGCTAGTTGAGCTACGGTAAATATAAATAGACGAACACACACTGTGAAGAGAAATCAATCAATACGGAGGTTAAGTGTAGCGAAATCATACGGGATTAAGCATTCGAGCAGGGATGCTTGATCGTCGCAATCAATGAGAATTGCAATTGGGATATCTTGATGCGCCAGAAGGGTAGCCGTCTACTACGTGTCGTTGAGGCATCTGCCAATCGAATTTACAAACCTGTCTTGTGTAAATGATTTCGGCTGCCCTGGTAGGTGTAATTGTCCCCCCTAACAATATAACAAATATCGCCAACTCAATCGCGGGTCAAGTCACTGGGTTGACGTTGGTCACCCGTTCCGCATCATTTGTCACACACTAGCACTACTATCAAATTACAACGTCAGCTTTTCGTGTTAACCACATTTTGGCGGTCTTTATACAAACAATGGATTTCGTAATTGACAACAGCTCCATTAGGCTTCAGCCATGGATAAAGCAACTGAGTAACGCCCCACTGAGAGAAGGACCAGNCCAGCAACACAACCCGGATTGCGCTTATATCAACACGACTAGTCTACTCTCTGTGCATTGTTCAGTACAATTAAAATCAGATTACACACTTCGAAATATTTTTAAGCATCTTGTTTTGTCCCAAAATTATTTAAAACTACTGTTTACAGCAGGAATCTCTGATAAGACTCGGTTCATATCAGCGTTGATTAGCTGACATTAGGCAACGAACCTTCATGACTCGATGGTTTAAATAATCAAGATACTTCGCATTATGCACAAAATTTCAAAGTTTTGTATATCGAACATAGTTAGCGAAATTACTTTACCGATTTTTCCTGAAGAGTGACTTGGATTATTTCCATAGTGACTTCATCCAAACTTCCGCATTACTCCGAACTATTGTGCACACTTACCAATAGGCCACGTCATAAATACAAGTGCGAGGAACCCTAACAGTACCCATCGCATTTGTTGATGATATATAATATAAATCCATGTAGTCAGTATAAATCATTTAGTCAGAAATGGATTTTCCGTTTTCATAAATTTTTAGGCTACTTGAATCAGAAACAGCTCATACAACTATTCTTTTCCGTTGCTTTGTTCTGCCATTTGAGGTGTTGGTAAATTGCTAAGTAGATGAATTTGTTTTGGTCATCTGGGTGGGGTACCTATGCTCGAAAAATATCCAAATCGTTAATAGAGAAAATTGCCAAACAACAACCCTCGTCGATGGACAAAAATGCATCCTAATCTGAAGCTGTTTCAATTTACCGATTAATGAAACGTCACTAATAACTGGTTGATGGATTTTCGAAAATGTCAACAGAAGGCTGAACTGCAGAGAAGCAAGTCAACCAAATGCACGCTAGATGTAGTTTCTTCTCTTTTACATAAAACTACTAAATCCTTGAATGATGCTGCGAAATCTGTCTGGTGTGTGTTACTAGACTAATTATCTGCTTTTGATTCTACCCCTCGTTCTCTCCTTCTTCGTAAACTGGTGACCTTTGGTTGTCTTAGAAAGTTGTTAGCTTGGCTTCCCGATTACTCCTACGAGAGAATTCAGTGTACCAGGTTAGGTCGGAAGAAATCCAAACGGTCCTGGAGTGCTTCAAGGTGCAGCTCTTTTCCCATGCTTATTTTCCACATATATTACTGACGTGTCTACTAGCGCCCGTACTTCTCTCTTCAAATATACTGATGATGTGGTGTTGTGTCAGGCCATCTCCGACTCTTTAGGTCTTTCACAATTTTTGGACAACTTGGATTTCTCTTTAAATAATCACGCTCTTCTTTCCCAACTGAACCGGTATCGATGGGCGTTGAACCAGTGTCCCGAGTGAACATGGGTGTTTTTATTGATACTAATCTTCACTGGACCTCTCACATTCAACATATCGTCAGTAAGCTCGTAGGACCTTCTTTTCATATACGTAAATTGCGACGGTTTTGTGTTCAAAAATCAATTATTTCCAAATGTGTGTACCAGGGTGTTTCCCAAGTTTAACTTTATTGTTCACCTGGTATTTTTATAATCTCCTAAACAAAGATTTTAAACTGCTTCCATGTGAACTGACCACCATTAGCCGTGTCTCTTCAATCCCGCTGAAGGAGTAGGTAACTGATGTATGTGACCGTCATTTAAATGCATGTGAAAAGTGTGTATATAAGCTTCTCACCGACGCCACACAACCGCTACACGCAGATCTAATTTCCAGTTGTTCTTATCCTTCAACTAGATCCCAATATCGTTGTGTTCCCTCTTGAAAAAAGCATTCATCATAAGTCTACAGTACCCTTATTAGCACATATTCCAGTTAACAAAAGACAGGTTTTCACAGACTTTGTTAACAGTTTTGGGAGTTAAATCTCGTTTTTCATTATTATTTCTCCCTCGTTTCAACCCGTATATTTTCAACTGAAATGTAGCCTTCATGTCTACAGGAGTTATTACAATACAGTACGAACAGTGACAACGTTCAGTATAACTATTGTGGACAAGAATACCAAACAGGTCAAATAATGAAATGAAAATAATGAATTCAGGACCAAGTAAATGACATTTGTGAAAGTTCGACTTTGCTGAAACTAATATTTACCGAATTCGAGTGAGATGGAGAGGACAATATGCTGTGGTTCACTGCTACTTTTGAAAAACACCTAACCGGTTCATACCCTTAGGGCTGAAATTGCTAACTTGCTAAAATGAACT